GTTAGACGGATCTGAAAGGAATGCATTAAGATTGAAACTATGCACACCTTCTGTGAACGTGAAGCATCATCAAGCTTGCCAAATGACAATATTTTTCAGATCTCATGTCAAATTCTCTTTTGGCGCACAATGGATATCCTCGAATCGCCTTTGCGGCCTGTATAGGTTCACCGCTCTTCAATCTCCTCATCGGCGCTGGCGCCTCCTATACCATCAAACTGGCCCGGTCTGGAGACCACACAGCTGAGGTAAGGCGAAATTTAAACACGTCAAACCTACTTATATTAATTCAGCGGCCAACAGTAGACCACCACATATGGAGTGTGCATGGTAAATCCTTCGAACTGGTTAACAGAACTTACTAACCATGAAAGTTTAAATAGGAAATGGGATTAGCAGTAAATGATTGCATTTGAACTTGCCATGAGATTGCTACTGTTGGGTCGACTTGTGACCACCTTAAATTCATCGTTATGGTTATTATCCTAGGATCGAGGTAAGATCAAGACATGTATCACACATGCTCTACCATAATTAATGGTTGCGACAAAACCTGCCAGATGCTATAACTCTTCCTCGTTGCAATATTATGAGCTTGGTAACTGTCTAGACATGAATAAGCCCAAGTGGGATCTAACTTGTGTAACGGGTCTTAGAAACCTCTCCACGTATGGTCTCTCCTTAAACCAAAGAGCACTTCACAATAACATTTTTATGCCAAAACTTGCAGCCTTAGGGTACAAGGTGTACTCACCTTTTCCATGGTGTTAGTTGGCACAAAGCAATAAGTCGTTCGAACGATAATTAGCACATTGTTAACCTCAAGGTCATCAGTTTCCTTTCTTGTACAGATGTCCTTCACCTTGACACACGTGCTACTCTTCTCCTTCCTGATGGGTGTGCTCACCACAAACCTGATAGTGGCATGCGTTACGGGCTTTCAAATGCGTCGCGCCTATGGCATCTGTCTGCTCTGTGCCTACGCTGTTTTCATGACGCTGGCCATCCTCGTGGAGGCCGATGTTATCGTCCCACCCGCCTCGTGGCACCTGCTCACTGGCACCGAGTAGATACTTCACCTACCACGCCCACTGCTATGGTCCCTCTAGCCTCATGTAACTGTGATTTTTTACCGCCTCCACGTCTCCAGTGAATGCTTCTCCCTCCAGTCCCCCTCCCACCGCCCCTTCCCCTTGTCCGTCTCTCTCCTTACCCTTCCGTCTTTTTCTAGCCAACACCAGAGACGAATCGTTATGCATTTTGTATATTCTATATATGCTATCCAAAGTAGATGCCTCGCATACATTAAATTCTTCCTTTTACTACACTTTGTCTTTTGGAAAGACGTGGGTAACTGAGAAGCCTATGATGGAGTTTAAATGAAGGAAGTAAAAACTGTTACTTTTAGTGGAAGCATTATTGCATTGGCCTAACGAGTTCTTCCTCATTTCCCATTCGACGGTATAGAGGCACTGGAAAGGGAGATTTGGGGAGTTAATTGTGTTTTAGTGAACTAACGTAAATACGATAATGTCGTGCGATTTCTTGAAGGC